CAATGATTCTATGATTCTATGATTCATTAACCACCACCCTCTCTTTCCATCCTTTGATATATACACAGATATCATTCCCTTAGTCTACGGACCACCCCTGTGAAATGTCTGTAAAATGGCCATAAATGTCCACTGAGTTCATTTAGTCCATGACTTTGGGCTCCATCTGTTATGGTGGTCACTCAGGACAGGGGAGGTGGTATGTTGTGTGGAGTTACTGGTCACTAAAGCCAGTTCAAGCTGGGTCATGGCTGCACTTGCACTGCTTCTTGTGAGGCTTGTCCTCCATTGGTTCAAGTGGTTCCTGCTATAGTACTTCTGTAACATTCCCATAACTCAAATCATGGGTTGTAACAATTTAAAGGTGTATCTGTTACAATGTCCACCCCTGGTCCCTTTGGACCAGATGATAGAGTTTAACATTGGAATGAATTCCTCCCCTTGCCCCTGCTTTGGCGTGGACTTATCCACAGACCACAGTCCTGTAGGGGTGTACCTGCTGTAGTGTGGCCTTATCTATGAGCCACAGTCTCTTCAAGGGTATACTTGCCGCGGCATAGACTCATCCATGGCCACAGATGCTTTGAGGTGTTCCAGCATGGCCTCATGCACAGCCACTTACGCTTCCAGGTGTACCTGCTGCGGCATGGACTTATCCAGAGCCACAGATGCTTCGGGGTTTCTTGCTCCCCTGTGGACTCATCCACAGGTCACAGTCCCTTCAACTCGAGGGCAAGAGGGTACCCAGTAGCAGAGCAATGGAGATGGTGTGAGGGGAATCTCACCTGGTCCAATGGGCCCTGGTGTGCCCGAGCCCCTGTTTCAAACACAACAATGTCTTCAGGAGTTCCTTGTCTGCACCCACGGGATTGTGGATGCTTCAGAGGTGCCGGCAGTTTAATCATCACCTTGAGATGAGGGAGGAGGTCTAGAAAGAAATTTTCAAGTATCATAGGAAAGAATACCTAGATGTGGGCATTAATAGTGAAGGCATATGACCTTACCACAAACTCAGTGGATATGAACAACAGAAGTGGGCCAGATGCGGTGACATGAACATGAACAACAGAAGTGAGCCAATGACTTGAATCTGTTGTGTAATCTGTGTGGAGACAGAGAGTCATGGGACCCTGGAAAGCTCAACTTCCTATGATGCCCCCACAACCCCATACCCTGTTGCCATCAGCTCAGCACTGACAATAAACTGTGGAATAATGTTGCAAAATTGGGAATTCCTGCATGGGTTTGTAGTGAGCAGATATTTTGGGTTTCCAAAGACTGTAGACCACAGCTCACAAGGGTTACTGGGTGGCTGTCTAGTGCCTTAGGACCTGGGGTCTTGTGGGTTTGATTTTTGCGTATTGAATCACTAATGTAATGGTTGAGCTAATCCCAATCTGCCAAATTCAAATTCAGAGAAAAAAAAATCTAATGCTGGCCATGTTACCTCTTCTGAATTAACCAAATGGAACATTTTTGGATAATGTTTGGACTCAGCCTACAGCCCCTGACCACAGGTTGATTTCCTGGTGGTGTGGACAGACAAGGAGGCACTGGACGTGCACATCTCCAGGCTCACCTCTAGGAACCACTCCTGCCCTTGGCCTTGAATGTGTTGTGGAGTGAGGCACAGCTCTGCCAAGGAAAGGCACAGTTTTTAAAAAGGGTAGATAGGAAGGACACAGCAGAATGGGAACTACTGGCAACCTTGTGCCCCAGAGAGGGTCATTACCTTTTTGCCCTTGGGCAGTGAGAGACTACTTGCTGTCCACAGGCCAGGCCAGGATGTAGATGGGGGACCTCCATGCGGAGGAAAAGACCTTCTGGCTTGGTTTCAACTTCCTGCCTGGGGTAAGTTGATTTCCACAGCCTCAGACCTGGATAGCTAGAGTCTTCCCTCTGAGACTCCTCCAGCTCAATTACTCTGATGTGCTGGGGCTGTTGTTCCAACCAGTTCCCAAGCACATCAGTCATAGAATCATAGAATCATTGAGGTTGGAAAAGATCTCTAAGATCATCGAGTCCAACCGTCAACCCAACACCACCACCCACTAAACCATGTCACTAAGTGCCTCATCTACACATCTTTTAAATACCTCCAGGGATGGTGACTCAACCACTTCCCTGGGCAGCCTGTTCCAATGTTTCACCACTCTTTCAGTAAAGAAATTTTTCCTTACATCCAATCTAAACCTCCCCTGGTGCAACTTGAGGCCATTAAAGTTAAAGCCATTAAAGTCAAAGCTAGTGAGACCACTTTTGAACCTAGAGCTGCTCCAAAGAGACAGCTCACAGCTGCTGCTGAGTGCAGAAGCATGTCCCATTGTAACCACCACATCCCAAGGCAAGGTAGGGGTATCTACTCTCACACAGAGCCTTTCAGGATCAGAACTGAGTCCTGGCACTGATGAGACCAGAGGGCCTGTTCTCAAGGAAAGATACTCTATACTTGGGAACATCAGGTACCACAGAGCAGCTGTGGGAGTTTGGGAGCTGGTTGTGGTCCTGGGTCTGCTCTGACCCATGGAGGTGTTGGGTTCACATGGAACTGGGACTTGAGCATGTGGTTCACTGTGACGTGGCCAAAACTAACTTGTGAATCACCTCAGCCCTGCCTGTCTGTGCAACAGCTGGGTGAAGCCAGGCACTGCACCAGGTGATCCTGGTGTTGCATGGGGGCCTTGTCCCTACTACCTGTGCCCATGGGAGCTGGCCATGATCCTACTTGGTGGCTGTTCCTGAGGCTATTCACCCAATCCCATTTCTGCTGTTCTTCAGGGCAATCTTCTGTCTGAGCCTACTCCTCCAACACAGCTCTGCTCAGAGCAGGAGGAACTGTCTTCCCATCAGCTTGTGTAGCTGCTGACCTACTCCATGACCTCCTGCAGGCCCCCAGCTCCCCACTAGAGGTCAGCAGGAGACAGGCTTCCCATCTGCCGGATGTACTCCAAGCCTGAGGAGGCATTTCTGGGCAGAGAGGCAGCAAGGCAATGGCTGGTGGCCACTGTCATTTGGGCAGCTGGCAACATCTTCCTCAGGTCCAAGGGACACTGCACAAAGCTTCCCAGTGCAGTGTGCCCCAACCCCTCCTTCCTCTCAGAATAGTGAAGGGTGCCGATGTGCCCTTACGTCATGTTGATTTGACCAGAACAATGCTTTTGTCCCTGGGTGGCTTGTGAGAACATCCTGAGAAGGAAGAAGCACACAGAGGGTCAGGTTGGGTTGCAGCAGAATTTGAATGATTTAAAAGAGGGAAATGAGGTAAACAAGTGAAGGCTTTGATGCAGGGAGCACCAGATCATCCAAAAGCCTGTGCCCAGAGGCCAGGTTGGAGTTCCCTCAAGATGTCCCAACTGTCTACACCACAAAGGGAGGGGGGCAGAAGATTCCTCCAGGGCCGGCTTTGTAAAAAAAAAAAATGGCCTTGGGGAGCAGAAGACAACAGAGAAAAGAGAGAGAAAAAAGAGTGAGAAGCAGGCAAGTTAGACAAGGGCCATGTTTTCAGAGAGCCCAGGCGCGCCTCTTCCTGCATGCCTTTGCAGGTGGAGCCATGAATGCTCAGCCCCTCTGAAAGTGATGACCCAATGCTCTGTCCTCAGACCAGCATAATCTTCTGCTTCCTGGGGGTCCTTCTGTGGGAAGTCACCAGTGGCTTTAGCAGGGGGGGCACCTCCTGCTGCAGTAACGGCTGGAAATGCAGGAAAGGTCACAGCACCCAGAGTTGATGGGCACTCCATCACAGCTGAGGATGCTGCCAACGGCAGCGGAGGTGGAGGATCCCACAACGGTGTTCTGCGAGAAGGAGCTGAGGATGGGGCCAGGCAGGGTCACCACCACGGGGGAGGGCTGGATGACGACGGTGGAGTTCTGGCACTGCCTGACACAGGGCTCATTGCAGCTGTTGGCCAGCGGGGTCGGGCCGCAGGGCTGGCACGGCAGGCATGGCAGGCACTGGTTGTAGCAGGACATGTCTTGTGGCTGGAGGTGCACCTGGGAGAGAGGGCAGGGAGGAGCACGGGGGCACGTGAGGAGCAGCCTGTCCGCCCAGCACGAGGCAGCCAAGGCACGTGCTGGGCGGGGAGCTGGAGGCTGTGCAGGGAGGCCCACGTGCCTCTTTGCCTGCTCCCCCGGGCACCGTGCAAAGAGAGCCAGGCCCACGAAAGCTCTTTCCTAGACAAGAGCCCAAGAGTCCCCTCAGCCCAGCCCCAGCCCCTCTCCGCACCAGACCTTCTCGCCGCTTCCCCTCCCAGGAGTGGCAGAGCCTCAAGTCCCAGCAAAGGACAGAGCAGGTATTATCTGACATGTCCACTGAGACATGGCTTCATTCTTTAGGAGTAGGAGAAGGAGAGGGGACTTCAGATTCAGCTGGTTCCCAAGGAGAAGAAGGAGAGTGAAGTGGATGAGAGATCAAGGACCTGCATTGGCTTTTATACTGGTCCTGCACTGCCCCTGACCTAGCAGGATTAATAGTTTTCTGACAAGCTCTTCTGAAATGTAAGATATCCCAGCTAATGATACAGGTTGTGTTTCAGTTTCCTTGTGCCTTTTCATTTCCTTGTTTATGACATGCTCATTCCCTCATGGATGCTTGTTTTGAGTGTTGGAATGAGAGTTCCTAAAATTTCTGGGGCAGGAACATGTCGTTGCAGGCAGAACACTCATGCCAATTGCTGGAGGGGTCCTGTACAGACTATGGACACTGGCCTGGGGCACTCCTGGGGAGTTGTTTTCAGCCCCATTGGCAGGAAAGACCAAGCTCCTCTCAGCCCTGCAATCCTTGACCAGACACCCCAGGGCTTCCATATGTGAGGACATGCCATGTCCTCTTCCCTCTCTCCCTACCAGCCCTTTCAAATTGTTACTGGTCTTTCTCTTCCCAGGCAGGTGGACTGCACTGCTGAGTTTCAACATTTCTCCTTCTAACACCAACCTTGGGAGAGATTTCCCAGGCTGCTTGGCTTCCTCCATTCTCTAGGCCGTGTCTGGGGATTCCCAGACAATCCATGTTTTGGGCCTCGAGGTGCCCTGGGATGCTCCAGCCCTGCCAGGGTTGTGCCTAGTTGAATCCACAGGTGGTCACGTGTAGGCATTTTTGCTTGATGGGTGCACTTATGTGTATGATAAATTTCTTTGAATGCATGGTGTGGACAAATTTGCATGCAATTCCATGCAGGTGAGCATGAACACATCTGTTTGTACATACCTGTCCATACATCTCATCACAACAAGATGTGGTGGTCATGGCAGGGGCCCTTTCCAGCATCCTTCCTGGGTGCTCTCTGTCCATGAGCACTACAGAGCTGCAGGTTCCCCTGGCCACAAAGGGCCTAACTTCAGCAGAACAGTGACAGCTCCAAAGTTGAGAGGTGCCCCAGCAGCAGGCACTGAGATGCAGCCCCTGTTCCCTGTGCATTTTGTTTCCTGACCCTCAAAAAATCACGCTCTGATACTGCAGATTTCGGAGACCAAAAGGACTGTTTCACTCCAGTTTGGGAATTCTGTATAACGCAACATACCAACAATTGGAGTTCCTCAGCACTGCCTGTCCCTGCAGGCTAGGTTGCCTCTCCCCTACTTAGTGTTAAGGAGCTCAAAAGAACAATAGCTTTGTGTCCAGGGAGAAATGCAGAGAAATCGTGCCCACCTTGTGCAGGGAAACCTTGAGTGGATCTGCATCCAGAGCTGTGTTGGCGGTGCCTGTGTCTGTGGAGACAAGAGCTTAAGCTACACAGAGCAAGGAAGGCAGGACAGATGGAGACCATGGCTAACCAGGTAGCAGAAGGAGGCAGTCAAGGTGGGGAAGGCTGGAAGTTGGTGACTTCTGGCAATAGAAAAAAGGCTCCTGCTCCACCTGCAGACTTTATCTTCAGAACAGGTGCTGTCATCTGGGAACTGGTGAGGACAAAAAGACGCATTAGGGAATTCATCAGAGGGAGCTGTGCTCAAATCATTTTTCTTCCATGGAGGAGAAAAGACCTGTGACATCTTTAGGAGACTCCCTCTTTTAGGAATCTTAAGCACTAGTCTGTTAACCTGACCTGATGTCTCAGGAGGTTTCTTGTTTGCCAGAGGGCAGATGCAATATGTTGCAGAGGGACTGTCGAGCTTGTCCTGCCTTTGGAGTATTACCCTTTGCTGCTTTTTGATGTGGGCACCAATGATAATGCCCAAAGTGTTTCTAGAGTGACTACAGAGCTCTGGGGTGAAGTAAGGATGTGAGGGCCCAAATTGGACAGGCTTGAGTAGAAAAAAACTCATCCAGTGGATCAACACTTGGCTGCATGCTTTGTGTTGCAGGTAGAACTTTGGTTTTTATTGCCAGAGAACTGTCTTTGATGAATGAGGACTACTGATCAAGGATGGGAAATATTTGACAAAATCGTGCATCAGGGTCATTGCAGTCAGGCGTGCTAACAAAGAGAGGAGAACTCTAAAGTAGGTATGGCACGGGAGGTTTACGATAAAGGAAAGAGAAGTGAGAGCATAAGGGGTAGAACAGATAGCTAAAAAGCTATGCCTGTGCCCTAATTCTGGTACTGCACTAGTCTTAGTTTTAAAACATATTGTTTTTAAATGAAAATGGGACAACCAGCCTGTCCTCCTCCCCACACTGTAGCAGTTGAGCACATCACAATGAACTGTTGTCCAAGAAGTTATTTCAGTTGAGAGATGCCCCCCACCCCCACCAACTCACAGCTTTGTTCTGCCAGCTTGCTTTTACCTCTGAGGGGTAGTGATGGTGACAGAGGGGTTTATGTGACTGTTTGTACTAGTCAGCTGTGGGAGATGCAATATGGGTCATTCTGTGTGATGGCAAATGTTCTGTACTCCCTGCAGACTTGTAAATTGAATACTGAGAAGTCATGCTTAGGACTGTGCTAGTCCTACTTATATGCCCTTTCACAGCCTCAGAATATGGCTGATGACTTCCTGCCAAGACACATGTTGGTGCACAGAAATGCTCCTTATGCAGACACAACACCCAGGAAACTTTTCCATCTAAAACGTGGGTAGTATTCATGACTTATTCCCTTGAGCTCACATTTTAGGCTTGCATTCTGAGACAAGCTACATAAAAACTTTTTCAGGTATAGCAGATGAGCCTGTGTGTCTGCACTCACTAGAGTGGATTTCTTCACATTAAGATGTGTGGGATACAGCCATGACCTAGCGCCTCTGTGCTCCTTTCTTGTTCAGGGGACCTGGTTAATGTGGGGAGGGATTCTAGGTGGGCTAGCACAGCTCAGCCCACAAAAACAGGAGATACCTTCTGTTGCAGAGGTCTGAGCTCCTGGCTGCCCATGCAGAGCCTGAAAAACACTCACAAGAACGCTTGCGGAATGCAAGGAACAATCCCAGAGAGGGATGTAACGGATGTCCCCTGTCCAGGGCACAGGGCTAGCCAAGCTCTGGCCTTGGTGTTCATGGAACTGCAGCAGGTAGCCTGGAAATCTCTGCTCTGGGGAGTTTTGGATGCTTCCCATCCTTGCTGTGTCCCCAGAGGATCAAAGACAATGAATGCTAAGCAGCAACTTCCAACCTCCTTCCTCAGGTACAGTGTGGAGTTCCTCTCCCTGCACCCTGGTACCTTTCCAAGGGGATGGGTGGAACCTCACCAGGTGACTCTTTTTGTGCTGCTGGGTCTGGCTGTGAACAGGACAAAGAGGGACAGCTCATCCAGGTTTGGCTGAGAATTGTCCCTCATTGTCCTGTTCTCAGCCATCTGCCTCCTGATGCCGGCTAGGAATACCTTGACCAACCTGGGTCAAGGATGATGCAGCCACTTGCAGCAGGGCAACAAATGCACCAATGGGGTAGAGCTCTTGGTGTGGAGAGAGACGTTCCTCTGTGCAGGTGTGGGTGGGAACATCTGGGAGCTCTCACCAGGACTCTGTGCCCTTCCCCACAGCTCCCCCGCCCTGCCTGTGCCTAGCAACGTGTGAGTATGATATCAAGCCCTGCCTGTCCCTGCCTGGGAACTACCAGGGGAGAGGTGCTCTGTGGGCTGCCTGGACAAGCGGCCTCTCCAGGGCCAGGCTGCAGGACAGGTGGGTTGGGGAGATCGTGTCCCAGGTCTGGTACATACCAGGAAGGTGGGTGGCAGCAGCAGCAGCCCCACCATGGCTCTGAGTCCCATGGGCAGTGGGCAAGCTCGAGGTGCAACAGGGAGGCAGCTCCATCTTTTCTGTCAGCACCCAGTGGGTAGTTGTAGACAGCAGTTACGTCTTCCCATAGCCTTCTTGAGGCTGATCAAACCCAGTCCTCTCAGCCACTCCTCATGTAAGGGTATGTGGAATGGGAGAGTCTCTGTTTCATTAATGTTACCTGATCAAGGACCTTTCTAGTGCAAATGGGATAATACATAAAGGGGGGTGCAGTAACGAAAATCACAAGGACACACAAACTTGGTAGACAAGGAATAACAATAACCAAACCTAAAAGTCTCCAACAGCTAACTAATGGGCCCTTAAGAAAATACAGGCATAGCTTTGGAGAAGGGCCACCTGGACTTTGTAACTGATAAGAAGGGGGAAATGAGATGAACACGAGGATTTGGGAAATTCAAGGAGGGCCTGTGGGACTAGGGAAAAATTACTGAGGAATGTTTAAGGAAAGGGAATGAGAAACAGAGATGGGGGGTATAAAAGGGGCTTGTTAGGTGTAAGCAGCTGCCAGTCAGTACACTTGTCTAACTGAGCCCTGCCCTTGATCACTGCATTCTAGCCTATCTTCTGATTAAATCTTCCTTAACTGTCTTTCCATGTAGTTTCACTCTCCATGCTGTAAGGACTGGATGCCAGCAACTGAAGGGACCAGAGGGAGTGAAATGAAGTCAGCAACAGGAGTCAGATTGGAGTGAAGGCACTGCTGGGCCTGTGGTGCCAGAACCTGGAGTGGACAAGGTCCCAGTGTCAGCAACTGGTGTGAGACTACAGGTCACAGGCCCTGTATGCCTGGGTGCCAGTGGTTGGGGACCAGTGCATTTATATTTCCCCTAACCTGGTGCGCATTGGTGTGGGCAAGT